AATAATAATAATAATAATAATAATATAATAATAAATATATTACTATTAAATAGGTATTATCATAAAATTATATATAATATAATTTTAAATAAAATAAATAATAATATTTAGTATTAGTATTTATATAGTAATAAGAAGAATATTTCATAATATATTTATTAGTAATAATTAAAATATTTTTATTTATTATTAGTTAATAATAATAAATTATTATTATTTTTAATTAAATAATAAATAATTATTTATTTAAATATATAATATTTGTTTATTAATAGAATACCATTTTTATTTAATATTATTTTTTATTATTTATAATAATATCAAATAGTCCATTTCTAAGGGTAAAATAGTAAACTTCACAATTTCAAATGTTGGAGAATTGCTCCAATTCAAATGATCTTATCTTTTCAGAACCTCTAAAAAGAAGAAAATCATTTCTACTTCTTTTCAAATTTTTTACCCAAATAATTTTTTTTTAACTTTTCAAATTTCAGATTTATCAAACGCCACCTAAATCTTAAATGACTACAAATAAGGCATATAGGCATGATATATGCATATATACACCTTGATAGGTAGGGTCAGTTGTCTATTAGATTTGTGTAATTTCTAATGGTGTGTCTACGTTTTTTCTTCTCCATCTAACAAAAAATAAAAAAAACCTTGATAGTTTAGGTAAAGTATGAATTACAAGAACACACTTGGAAACATCAAAATATGTTGATATGTGTGTGTTATGAAACAAACAACCACTATCACATATTCGCATCTAATAGTTGTTGATCTTCTCATTCCAAATGGATCTTGAAATCTCCAAGCTCTTCACCAATAATATTATACAGTAGAATTAATATCTTTATATCATAGAAGTATGGGTAAATCATCAAACTAGAAGCAGACAATCTTGTTTGGAAAAAAGAAATCACTCGGTCCAATACACAGTCAAAAACAGCTTCTATCTATCTATCTATCTATTTTTTTCATTCAGGCATCCCCTTCCTCATCAACTTTGATGTTTGATTGGAAAGTGATGAAGGGAAATTTGGCCCGACCTCGTAACAGGGAGACGCGTAGACGTGACTCGGCATAAGTGACAACTCAACATGATCAGATCGGCACGTGGACGTGACTCGACACAAGTGATAGATCAGTTCGCTACAAAGCAACCTCGGGTACCCTGATACCCCCAAACTAAAGTCAACTCGGTATCGAATCGCGACCAGGATAACAATATCAAGCCCGCTACAGATCGAACCCGGACAGATGAACCACCTCATTCAAGACTACCTCGGGATGAGTATACAATGGCGTAAGGTCACATCAGGACCACCTCGGTCCCAAGGCACTTCGGCATTCATATCAGGTCAGATCTAAAGAGCACGAGCTCAGGAAGTTTGCCACTAGTCGGCTCACCACCAGGCAGCCCGGCACCTTACAGGCAGCTCGCTACCTAATCAGGCCGACTTCCGCGCTACAACCCCGAGGAGCTCACCACCGTACTCCGCATTTTACGGGATTATGACTTATAACGGCTATATTAGCTCATCCACTCCCCGATTCAAACGGGAGCGGGCAATCTTACCGGTAGATGGCATTTTACCCACCTAACACGCAAACGGATCCCATCACAGCGAGGATCCAAGAACTACTCCACCAACCCACGAGGACTCCAGTATATAAAGACTTCACCCCCGAGGGGCGAAGGTATGTTTTTTATATGTGTGTATGTGTAATCTTTGCTCTCTAGCTCTCAAACTCACGGATATCATCTTCAAGCTCTCTACTACTACTGAGTGGTGACTTAGCCATCGGAGTGTCCCCGCCGGGTAAGCCACCCCAGGATCTTTAACTCCTTTCTTGCAGGTTACCCAGTTCTTGTTGTTGCTGGCAGCCAGATCGTCTCCAACAGGGAGCAGCCGGATTACGCCACATCAGAAAGTTAATATGGAAGTAAAAAAAAAGAAAAAAAAAAGATCCATATACAAATTCCAAGTATTTATGTGGAAGGTAATACAGGTTTAAATTAAAAATAAAACACAAATTTAAGGCTTGGCTGGAACAAAAACAAAAGATAAATTTAAAGCTTCGCTCCAAGATCAAGACATGTTATGTGCCATTTGCTCAAAGGAGTTCGAGTCATTTCATCATCTGTTTCTTGAATATTCATTGCCTCAGGCAATAATAATCTGGTGTCAATTAAGCTCAATTAGAACTAAATCCAAAGATTAAAGGGAGATGACGGTTCAGCATAGGGCCAAAATTTTTAAGCGTAAAGTACAATTGAGGTAGGTATCAGTTCGGAATTGATGCAAATTTACAGTCAGTATATAGAGTGAGGATTATTGACATTTTGAATGTTTATAACTCTGTAATAAAAACCAGAAATCTGCAATGAACCTATCCGTACTTCTCTATTTTATCTATTCAAACAGCGATTGCTGGGACTAGAAGAAGCAAGCAATCACAATTAATATATTTTTTTTATAAAAATTAATTATTCAAAAAAAAGCGTCGTCAATAATTTTCTTGGAAAAACACAAGGACGAGCCAACCCATCAATTGCTACTGGCTATGTCTCAAGATTTAGTGGTTACCAATTAGCATATTCCATTGCTGGATCCTCAGTAACAATGTACCTTCTAGTCTTTTTTTTTTTTTTGTTTATTGTATTTAGATGGTGTCCTTTAGTCTTTACTTACAGGCTTGAAATTGCATTGTATCCCACTAATAGATAATCCGGTCGATCCCAAGTTAATGAAAAAAAATATTAACAACGATCTTTCTCTACGTAATAACAAAAAATTTTTTTGTTTATTGCATTGTATCCTTTAGTCTTTTCAAATATAAAATACATAAAACATAGAAATTACAAAAAATATAAAAAATTATTTTCAAATTACAGAAATTATGAAAATTGAAAAACAAAATCAGAAAATTAGAAAAACACCAAAAATTATAGAAAAACACAGAAATTGCAAATAAATAACAAAAAGTACAGAAAAATTTATAGATTGTAGAAAATAGAAAAATGTAAAAAAAAACGGAAATTATAAAAAACATTGGAAATTATAAAAAAGAAAAACTAAAAATGCAAAAAAAAAAATAAGAAAATTGAAAACTGAAAAAGACCATTTTTCCTCTAACTCACCATTCAAGGGTAATTTGGTCATAAAATTTGTTATTTATGCTGACATGGACACCTCTGTTAAGATGCATTAACGGTGCATTAACAAAAAGTGAGCTTTAGAAAATAAAAACTTACTAACATGGTAGGTTTTAAATATTTTGAAAAGTTGTGATAATTTTATAAAAAATACTGAAAACTCATGGTGAGTTTTAGATAATTTTCCTTCAAAATAACCCTTCTGAATAGGTATAATATAGGTATAAAAAAATAAATATTTATTTAATAAACACTTAAAAAATAAATTTAAATTTTGGATTACTTGAATAAACACTTACTTCTGATCTAAAATAAATGCTTATCCGAAATAGTTGATCGTGATTAAAAAAAAAAAGAAAAACAGTATACAAATGTGAAACATAATTAAGTGTCTGTTTCATTTCCTTGTGGAGGTTTAACAGTGAAAAGACACCTGACAAAAAAATAAGGAGACAAGCAGTTATCTAGCTTTTTCCAAATTAAAACCATTGTATATCAACCGTCCTTTACATATTCGAGTTATACTTTGCAACTTCATCTAAAACAATGCTAATTTTGTTTTATCTTTGATTATCGGTTGTTGTTGGTTTCCACGTTTATGTCAATCCTACATGTGACGACACAAAGAGGGCCCCCAAAATGAATACATTCATGGACATTAGACAATCATCACTCACAGAATAACCTTATCTATCACATGGATCGATGATGAAAATGACGCGTGTTTTACCTATCAGTGGCCAATATTTTCCTTCATGGGTCCCATTCCGAAGGTCTGACCGTCTGAGATCTGCTAGGAATGTTTACCAACTAATTTCTTCGCGTGGCCATGATTGAGGTGGTTGGTTGATCATCGAAAGAAACATCAACACTCACCACACAGAAAAATGAAATTTAGAAAAAGAAAGATCTAACGGCTATCATGGCTATATGTTAGGAGATAGGACCACCGACCACGTACGTACCACTCCAGGTGTATGTGCTTAATTTCGGTTGCCGTAGTAGCTCTCTTGCCCCCTTGTGTATTAACTCCAATAGAGTAAAATGCATGGTTCCATTTTTGGAAACCCAAATGCACTTGTTTTCCTGTTTGGATGCCCCGGCCCAATCTTTGGACCCAAAGCCTTCATAATTGATCTTGAACCAAAAAGAAGGATACCATCATTTCAAAGACTGTCTGTACGTATAAGCCATGCACCTTCCCTACTTCCCATCAGAGTTAAAGATAAACACACATGAAGAATTGAACTTTCATCGGTTAATTAATTGCCCAACTGAACTGAAAGTAAATTTCTCTTTCAGTAAGGATAAGAACATTATATATTAAGATTTATATGATCATGAGAAGACGATTGAACTTTGCATTCTCTATTTACAGACAAAAATAAATAAATAGTAAATTTTGCCTTGAACGAAGCAAGCTTATTTGAACTCCTTTATATGAAAATATGTTCCAATATAAACTAGCGATATATAAATATGCATGAATAAATAATAATATGTCGATAAATGCTGTCACTCCATATATACGACACCGTAAATATTTGTGTTAATTTTCTACATTGTCTTTTTGTCATCCTCATGAATATTATTATGTCATGCGCCGTAAACTCTAGGATATGTTTGGATTAGAATTAATGCTAATGGTAATGGGGTGACCTTGAGACTTTTGTGCATTACTTACCAGCGGCAGCGGCCCCATATCTGGGCCACATTGTTATGGACGTGGCTTGAGAAGATAAGGATGGATTATGGATATGATGCGCGCGGTATACGTAGGCCTTGCTTATAAAAGCTAACTTTGGGAGTTGCATTCTCACAAGCCAGCAATTAATCCTTATTGCCATCAAATTAATCCCTCAGTCAGCAAAGAGAAAAAAAAAATGGCTACAACCCCAACCCGCCGCGTGAGTACTACTGCCAACGCAAAGATGCTCTCCAACTATGTACCCGTCTACCTGATGCTTCGTGTAAGTATCATTTCGATCAATTTCAAATATGTATATAGTTAGTTTAATTGTTGAGCATTTTAATTATATATATATATATATATATATAATTAATTAACCGTTAACTTAATTTGTCATCGTCATCAATCGGTGGTGAAACACAGCTGGGTGTTGTTACGTGCTAAGCGATGGAGATGGACTTGAGAAGCAGCTCAAGCAATTAAGAGAGGCAGATGTCGATGAGGCGATGGTGGATGTATGTGTTGGAAATAATCTCAATAATTTTTTCTTGTAAAAAAGTCACAGAGATTTTCTGTCTCAAATATCAAGCATGCAACAATAATAACACAAATAATAAAAACAGAGCAACCAACAACAGATATTAAATTTTACATGAAAAATCCCTCAATACAAGGATAAAAACCACGAGACAGAAGTCCAAAACATCTAATATCAGCACTAATAATGGGGTACAATGTTTTTCTATCTACTTACAACTACATGATGAATCTAAAGAAAACTCTTGGATACCAATAACATAAATCAACATTAAACTAGAATCAAACAAGAAAATTTTCACAAAAGGTGGAAGCACAACAATGGAAATAAAAGGAGATGTTAAAAACGAATGTGTCCTCTTCTTCGTTTCGACCCTTACAACTCTTCTTCTTCTTCCAAAAAACCTTCATCTCTAAACCACTATTCTGTTCTCTGATATTTCCTAGAGAGCTATTTTTCGAGTTGCGAGAGTAGAGAGTGTGAAGAGAACTTTGACCAATTCGTTGGTTAGCCATGGACATGTTGGCTTGTCTTGCAAGCCAATGCCAAATAGACTATTGACATTTCATTCCTTTTTTTTTGTCTTTTCTTCCTTTTCTTTATTAGTGGGTCCCACCTCATAAGAAGGGAACCCCAACAATCACCCCCTCCCGATTTATGAGGAGGGTTGCACCATGCCCAAACCTGCAATATTTCTATAGTATTCAAACTTTTCTTTTGGTAAGGCATTGGTCATCGTGTCTGACCCATTCTTATCAGTGTGAATTTTTTCAACTTGCACTTCCCTTTCTTCAACAACATTCCGAATCCAGTGATACCTCATATCAATGTTTTTGGACTTAGTATGGGAACTTGGATTTTTACACAAGTGAATGGTGCTCTGACTATTACAAAGAAATTTAAACCTTTGTTGCTCCAAACCAAGTTCATTTAAGTACCTCTTCATCCACAATATCTCTTTGCAAGCCTTTGTGACAGATATTTATTCAGCCTCTGTAGTTGATAATGCTACACATTTTTGCAACTTGAACTGCCATGACACCGCTCCCCCAACAGAAATGAATAACAAACCTGATGTAGACTTTCTATAATCAATGTCACCTGCAATATCAGCACTTGTCCACCCTTCAAGTATAGGTTTACCACTACCAAAGAACAAACATATCTTGGATGTGTCTTTCAAATACGTGAGGATCCATTTCAATGCAAGCCAATGCTCTTTTTCCGAATTGGCAAGAAATCTACTAACCACACCAACAACACGTGCTATGTCCAACCTAGTACAAACCATAGCATACATAAGACTTCTTATGGCAGAGGCATAGGAAATGTTCTTCATTTCTTCAATTTATTTCTCATTCTTTGGACTTTGATCACTAGACAATCTGAAATGATTTGCCAATGGAGTATTAACTGGTTTTTCTTTGTCCATGCAAAATCTCTCAAGGACCTTTTCTATGTAACTTTCTTGTGACAACCACAATCTCTTGGATTTCCTATCACGTGAGATTTTCATACCCAAGATTTGTTGAAATGGACCTAAGTCCTTCATGGAGAAAGACTTGCTTAACTGTTTCTTTAACCTGTCAATTTTTGTCTTATCTTGCCCAACAATAAGAATGTCATCAACATATAGCAAAAGAATGATAAAATCATCATTAGAAAAATACTTAGTGAAAACACAGTGATCTGAAGTTATTTTACCATACCCATGCTCTAATACCACTTTATTTGGAATAATCCCATTAATTTTTCCTTGTGAAAATATCACAAAGATTTTTTTACTCAAATATCAAGCATGCAACAATAATAAAACAAATAACAAAAACAGAGCAAGCAATAGTAGACACCAAATTTTATGTGGAAAAACCCGTAATACAAGTGTAAAAACCACGGGATAAAAGTCCAAAACATCCACTATCAGCAACAATAATGGCGTACAATGTTTTTCTATTATTTACAACTAGATGATGAACCTCAAGAAAACTCGTTGATACAAATAACAAAAAATCATCATTAAACTAGAGAGCAAACAAGAAATTTCTCACCAAAGGTGGGAGTACAACAATGGAAGCAAGAGGAGATGCTGAAAATGGATTTGTCTTCTTCTTTGTTTCAGCCCTTATAACTCTTCTTCTTCTTCCAAAAAACCATCTTCTCTAAACCCCTAATTTGTTCTCTGATATTTCCTATAGAACTATTTTTCAAGTTGAGAGACTAGAGAGTGTGAAGAGAGCTTTCACCAATTCGTTGGTTAGCCAAGGATGTGTTGGCTTGCCTTGCAAGCCAATGCCAAAATGTCTCTTGACATTTCATTCCTTTTTTTTCGTCTTTTCTTCCTTTCTTTTTCTTGTAATTATTAGTGTGCCCCGTCTCATAAGGAGGGAACTCCAACAATTTCCCCCTCCGGAATTATGAGGAAGGCTACACCATGCCCAAACCTACAATATTTTTATAGTATTCAAGCTTTTCTTTCGGTAAAGCCTTGGTCATCATGTCTGACCCATTCTTATTAGTGTGAATTTTTCAAGTTGCACTTCCCTTTCTTTAAAAACATTCTGAATCCAGTGATCCTCACATCAATGTGTTTGGATTTAGAATGAGAGCTTGGACTCTTACACAAGTGATTGGCGCTCTGACTATCACAAAGAAGTGTAAATCTTTCTTGCTTCAAACTACAAGCCAATGCTATTTGCCTAGATTGGCATGAAATCTACTAACCACACCAACTGCATGTGATATGTCCGGCCTAGTACAAACCATAGCATACATAAGACATCCTATGGCAGAGGCATAGCGAATGTTCTTCATTTCTTCAATTTCTTTCTCATTCTTTGGACTTTGATCACTAGACAATCTGAAATGATTTGCCAATGGAGTAGTAAACGGTTTTGCTTTGTCCATGCAAAATCTCTCAAAGACCTTTTCTATGTAACTTTCTTGTGACATTTTCATCTCTTGGATTCCTATAACGTGAGATTTTCGTACCCAAGATTTATTGAGCTGGACCTAAGTCCTTCATGAAGAAAGACTTGCTTAAGTGCTTCTTTAACCTGTCAATTTTTGTCTTATCTTGCCCAACAATCAACATGTCATGCAAAAGAATGATAAAATTATCACTAGAAAAATACTTAGTGAAAACGCAATGATTTGAATCTGTTTTACCATATCCATGCTCTGATACCAGTTTATTAGGAATAATCCCAATAATTTTTCCTTGTGAAAAAATCACAAAGATTTTGCCTCATATATCAAGCATGCAACAATAATAAGACAAATAACAAAAACAGAGCAAATAACTGTAGACACCAAATTTTACTTGAAAAACCCCTCAATGCAAGGGTAAAAACCACGGGACAAAAGTCCAAAACATCCACTATCAGCAATAATAATGGCGTACAATGTTTTTCTATCTAATTACAACTAGATGATCAACCTCAAGAAAACTCTTGGATACCAATAACAAAAATCATTATTAAACTGGACAACAAACAAGAAATTTCTCACCAATGGTGGTAGCACAACAATGGAAGTAAGTGGAGATGCTGAAAACGGATTTCTCTTCTTCTTCGTTTTAGCCCTTATAACTCTTCTTCTTCCAAAAAACATTCTTCTCTAAACCCCTGTTCTGTTCTCTGATATTTCCTAGAAAGCTATTTTTCGAGTTTGGAGAGTAGAGAGTGTGAAGTGAGCTTTCACCAATTCGTTGGTTAGCCAATGCCAAAATGTATGTTGACATTTTCATTCCTTTTTTTTTGTCTTTTCTTCCTTTATTTTTATTGTAATTATTAGTGGGTCCCACCTCATAAGGAGGGAACCCCAACAATCTCCCCCTCCCGACTTATGAGTAGGGCTGCACCATGCCCAAACCTACAACATTTCTATAGTATTCAAGCTTTTCTTTCAGTAAAGCATTGGCCATCATGTCTAACCCATTCTTATCAGTGTGAATTTTTTCAAATTGCACTTCCCTTTCTTCAAGAACATTCTGAATCCAGTGATACCTAACATCAATGTGTTTGGACTTAGAACGAGAGCTTGAATTCTTACACAAGTGAATGGCGCTCTGACTATCACAAAGAAGGGTAAATCTTTCTTGTTTCAAACCAAGTTCATTTTAGAACCTCTTCATCCACAATATCTCTTTGCAAGCCTCTGTGGCAGCTATGTATTCAGCCTTTATAATTGACAAGGCTACACATTTTTGCAACTTGAAATGCCATGACACTTCTCTCCCAGCAAAAGTGAACTAGAAACCTAATGTAGATTTTCTAGAGTCAATGTCACTTGCCATATCAGCATTTGTAAACCCTTCAAGTTTAGGTTTACCACCACCAAAATACAAACATGTCTTGGATGTGCCTTTCAAATACTTGATGATTAATTTCACTACAAGCCAATGTTCTTTGCCTGGATTGGCAAGAAATCTACTAACCACACCAACTGCATGCGCTATGTTCGGCCTAGTACAAATCATAGCATACATAAGACTTCCTATAGTAGAGGCATAGGGAATGTTCTTCATTTTCTTCAATTTATTTCTCATTCTTTGGGTTTTGATCACTTGACAATCTGAAATGATTTGCCAATGGAGTATTAACCGGTTTTCCTTTGTCCATGCAAAATCTCTCAAGGACCTTTTCTATGTAACTTTCTTGTGACAACCACAATCTCTTGGATTTCCTATCACGTGAGATTTTCATACCCAAGATTTGTTGAACTGGACCTAAGTCCTTCATGGAGAAAGACTTGCTTAACTGCCTCTTTAACCTGTCAATTTTTGTCTTATCTTGCCCAACAATCATCACGTCATCAACATATAGCAAAAGAATGATAAAATCATCATCAGAAAAGTACTTAGTGAAAACACACTGATATGAAGCTGTTTTACCATACCCATGCTCTGATACCAGTTTATTGGGAATAATCCCATTAAATTTTCCTTGTGAAAAAATCACAGATTTTCTGTCTCAAATATCAAGCATGCAACAATAATAAGACAAATAACAAAAACAGAACAAGCAACAGTAAACACCAAATGTCCAAAACATCCACTATCAGCAATAATAATGGGGTACAATGTTTTTTTATCTAGTTATAACTAGATGATGAACCACAAGAAAACTCTTGAATACCAATAACATAAATCATCATTAAACTGGACAACAAATAAGAAATTTATCACCAAAGGTGAAAGCACAACAATGAAAGCAAGAGGAGATGCTGAAAACGGATTTGTCTTCTTTTTCGTTTCAGCCTTTGTAATTCTTCTTCTTCCAAAAAACCTTCTTCTATAAACCCCTATTTTGTTCTCTGATATTTCCTAGAGAGCCATTTTTGGAGTTGAGAGAGTAAAGAGTGTAAAGAGAACTTTCACCAATTCCTTGGTTAGCCAAGGACATATTGGCTTGTCTTGCAAGCCAATGCCAAAATGTTTCTTGACTTTTCATTCCTTTTTTTTTTTGTTTTTTCTTCCTTTCTTTTTCTTGTAATTATTAGTGGGTCCCACCTCATAAGGAGCAACTCCAACAGTATTGTGGGGGTTCATAGAGTGCAAGGGCCCCAAGCAATAGGGGTGAGCTTTCGGTTTATTCGGTTAAAAACCTAACCGAATAAATCATTTTTTTTAAACCGAAATATTAAAATGAAAACCGAAACCAAAACCGATTTTCAAAAAACCGATCGATTTTCGGTTATTTCAGTTAAAAACCGAATTTAGTTATTATTATATATTATAACCTATAATATATATATATAGATTATTATAATATATTAGAAAATTTAATTTCATTATAATAGATTATATATAATATATTAATATATAGCATATAATGTATATTTAATATTATATATTATATAATGAATTTTAGCTAGTTCAGTGTTTTTGATTGGCCGAATTTCTAAATCTGAAAACCGAAATTATTAAAACCGAATTAACCAAACCAAATTTCTCAAAAAACCAAAAAAACCGAAACCGAATTTTTCAGTTCGGTAATTCGGTTTTAACCGAATAATGCTCATCCCTACCAAGCAACACGCCTGGAGCACTTAACCGGAGCTTGTTCAACATCATTCAACAATGCGGTGATGTTGTCAACATTCCTCTTCCCCAGTGGCTGCTTGACATCGGTGAATCAAACCCAGATATCTGCTACACCAACAGGTCCGGTACCAGAGACAAAGAGTATGTCACCAATGGTGTGGATAACCTGCCCGTCCTCGCTGGCCGGACAGCCCTGCAGATTGGATTTTTCTTACTGTTTGTTCTGAACCTTAATTAATTGATCGACCTTAGCTTGCTTCATGAGTTTTACTAGGTAGCTACTTGCATTGAAAACCCTTGATTTAGAAACTGAATTAATCCTTAAGTAAGCTCTAGTAGAATTCACACGGCCGTTATCTCTTTCAGGTATATAGCGATTACATGAAGAGTTTTAGAGAAAACATGTCGGACTTCCTAGAGGCTGGGCTGATAACAGATATTGAAGTAGGGCTTGGTCCATGTGGCGAGCTCAGGTTCCCCTCTTACCCACAAAATCAAGGTTGGGTCTTTCCAGGCATTGGAGAATTTCAGGTGACATTGACTCCTCGATCGCTTCTTAATTAATTAAGTTCGATCCCTTCTTCGATTTTTTTTTTCTCCTCCTCTCTTGTTGATTGGCAAGAAGATGCATGCATGGTCGTGTCATTATGGACAATAAATTAAATAATACAACAGAAGCCACTGCCTTCCAAGTTTCAATAAAATGATGACTTCAACAATCTTATAATTAATTATGAATTGCAGTGCTACGACAAGTATCTAAAATCACAATTCAAAGAGGCTGCAACAGCAGTTGGACACCCAGAATGGGAATTACCAGACAATGCAGGGACATACAATGACACACCTGAAGCTACAGAATTCTTTGGAGAAAATGGAACGTATCTCACTGAGAAGGGAAAATTCTTCCTAACATGGTATTCTAATCAGTTACTAAAGCAAGCAGATGAGATCCTTGAAGAAGCCAATCAGGCTTTCCTTGGGTGTAGAGTCAACTTAGCAGCAAAAGTAGGTGATTAATTACTACCATCACTTATTGTGTACTCTGGTGGGTATCAAAAGCTCAAAGGGGTATCCTTTCCATGCTTATTAAACAGGTATCTGGAATCCACTGGTGGTATAAACATTACAGTCATGCTGCAGAGCTTACTGCTGGTTACTACAACTTGAGCAAACGTGATGGATACCGGCCCATAGCCAGGATGCTATCAAGGCACTATGCTATTTTGAACTTTACATGCATTGAGATGAGAGACTCTGAACAAAGTGAAAATACTAAAAGCGCACCTGAGGATCTTGTTCAGAAGGTAAATTTTCTGATCGAGCATAGAAAAGCTAGGAGATTAACTGATCAGTGAGGCTGAAGAGTTCTTCAGTATGTTTGGTCCTAGGTTTTTAGTGCAGGTTGGAGGGAGAACTTGGATGTCGCAGGTGAGAATGCCATATCAAGATATGACAGTACAGCTTATAATCAGATCCTGAAAAATGCTAGACCAAATGATGTCAATAAAACTGGCCCACCAAAACTGCGTATGATTGCTATGACATACCTCCGGCTATCAGATGATCTACTAGAAGAGAGCAATCTTAGTTTATTCAAGAAATTTGTGAGGAAAATGCATGCTGACCACGTAGGGAAAGGGAATTCACTTTCTATTGTGAATTTAAATATATTTGTCTTCGCGCTGGATAGTAAGACTTGATCAATGTTGAGTGTTGAACGAAATCTATTCTTTTCAGGATTACTGTCCAGAACCGGAAAAGTACTACCACCACCCCCTGCTTCCCTTGAAGAAGTCAAAACCAAAGATTCCAATCAATAACCTCCTGGACGCAACAGAACCAATGGAGCTGATGAGGGCGGATTTTGCCCTCCAATGACATTGTGACACATGGCACCTCAGAACAACTAGGTGACACCTAGAACCACTCAGGCAACAACTCGTCAAGTTGATGGTGTCCAACCTGGCGGCCTGGCATAGGCGCAACCTGCCAGACTGGCACAGGCGCGACCTGGCAGCCAGGCACATGCGCCGACCTGGCGACCTGCAAGACGTGCTCGCCGACAAATTCGGCATGCATACCCCACGATCCTTGGAGGTTGGCCCTCGTTCTGGAAGATGGTCAACGTGCATGGCAGTTACCTCCGAGGATCTCGGACCAGTTAGACACGACTTCCCGGAGATCTCGGGGGCGGTACGTGAACAATGCCTATATAAAGGCACCAACCCCAATGGCAAGCGGGGGAAGCGAGTAAGCAAGTAAGCAAATTCTAGCTCTCATACTGTATGACTTTTAGCTTGCAGTCTACTATGAGAGTACTGACTTAAGCATCGGAGCGACCTCGCCGGGTTAGCCACCCCGAGTCCTCTGACATTTTGGTTCCTTACAGGTCTCCAAAGAGCAACGAAGCTCATCAATCCAGCTCGCCACCAGGTCAACCCGGCACCTCACAGGCAGCTCGCCACCAAGTCAGCCTGGCACCTCACAGGTAGCTCGCCACCAGGTCAGCCCGGCACCTCACAGGCAGCTCGGCACCCGGTCAGCCCGACACCTCACAAGCAGCTCGGCACTTGGTCATCTCGGCACCTCATAGGCAGATCGGCACTATAGTCAGCTCATCACCTAGCCTGCCTAGCTTGACTCAGCTCAGCAGCCAAAGTTCTCCACTTCGGCCACTTGGAAGCAGACCAAATGACGAGGTACTTAGCACAAAAAATTCACACTTCACCAAAAATCGATCCATCAATTGGTGTCGTCTATGGGAAACGCTACAAAAAGCTTTCTCATCCTCTAAAAGGCTAAGTCATCTTCTTCTAGAAAACTAAGTCCTTACTTTTTAGAAACTAAAGCTCTCGCTTTATAGTTTCCATTTTTTATGAACTCAAAGACTATGCAGGAAGTTGATAGCTAACAAACTAAGCAGCTCTACCAACTTTATTTCAACTCGGATAAAGTCTCATCAGTCCTCTTCGCGAGGTCCCCTCTACAAAGATGAGCTCTTCGTGGCTTCCGTGGGAGTTGGCGGCCAACAGACTACATGGACGCCCTTGCTGGTCGAGCCATCCAAGGCTCCCATGTGAGCTGGCGACCTAAAGTCAGTAGTGTTGCCCCCGTAGGTCGAGCTCCTAGTAGATTCTTGTAGGAGTGGGTGACCGGCGTCACGAGGTTGATGCAGTGCAGCCATAGCACTAAAGTATCGAACTGGCGAAGACCTCGATACCACATAAGACCCAGTCGCCTCTTCGGCATGGGCAAGATCAAGGAGAGTGGACTACGAGTCGATCCCAGAGCCTAGGGGCCAAAATACCGAACTAGCGAAGACCTCCTCACCACATAAGACCCAGTCGCCTCTTCGGCATGGGAAAAAACAAGGAGCAAACTGCGAGTCGCTCCCAGAGCCTAAGGAATTGAATCAATGCTTACGAGCTCATCGAATTATTCATCTCGGGCCAAAAGGAGAATTTACTCCCTTCGCCGAGTTACTTTCAGCTCGGGAGTGGGGAGCAAATGATGAGGGTGGATTTTGCCCTCCAATGACATTGTGACACGTGGCACCTCAGAACAACTAGGTGACACCCGGAACCACTCAGGCAACAACTCGCCAAGTTGATGGTGTCCAACCTGACGGCCTGGCACAGGCACGACCTAACGACCTGCGAGACGTGCTCGCCGACAAATTCGGCATGCATACCCCACGATCCTTGGAGGTTGGCCCTCGTTCCGGAAGATGGTCAACGTGCATGGCAGTTACCTCCGAGGATCTCGGACCAGTTAGACACGACCTCCTGGAGATCTCGGGGGCGGTACGTGAATAATGCCTATATAAAGGCACCAACCCCAATGGCAAGCGGGGGAAGCGAGTAAGCAAGTAAGCAAATCCTAGCTCTCATATTGTGTGATTTTTAGCTCACAGTCTACTATGAGAGTACTGACTTAAGCATCGAAGCGACCTCGTCAGGTTAGCCACCTCGGGTCCTCTGACATTTTGGTTCCTTGCAGGTCTCCAAAGAGCAACGAATCTCATCAATCTAGCTCGCCACCAGGTCAGCCCGGCACCTCACAGGCAGCTCGCCACCAGGTCAGCCCAGCACCTCACAGGCAACTCGCCACCAGGTCAGCCCGGCATCTCATAGGCAGCTCGACACCTCATAGGCAGCTCGGCACTATAGCCAGCTCGCCACCTAGCCTGCCCAGCTTGACTCAGCTCGGCAGCTAAAGTTCTCCACTTCGACCTGAGTCATCGGCCACTTGGAAGCAGACCAAATGACAAGGTACTTCACACAAAAAATTCACACTTCACCAAAAATCGATCCATCAGGAGCCATTCCCATTTGATGCGGGAATTGATATGAGTGTTGATGATGACTCCATCAATTAGTCAGACAACACATTGGGAAGATCCCTTTCAATGTTCAAGTTATGTACTCTATTGCTAAGGAACTAAATAAAGAAGAAGCAGATGCAAATAATGTCAATGAAATTTAGTTTCATTGATCTGTATCAACTGTTTCACCTATCCCTACTTTGAATAAAAGATCTTCCCTTAACTCGCATTTCTAGAATGTACAGTTACCAATTTACCACGGCATATAGCATATACCATTAATCACCAGTAATCACCACAAGAACATAATCCATTCTTAATGTGGTGGAACCGATGTGCATCCCTCATAATAATCTCTCGACCCATGAATTTGGAGATAAGTTTGGTCACTGTGTGGCAATCTCTGCAGGTACGGAGGTTTTTGGTGATTCTGATAACTGTTCCAGGGGTACTGTTGATAAGAGCAAAAGCAATAGCCAGCCTCTCACTATGATCCCAGAGCATCTTCTCCTTCACATCATCATCACATAGAACACAGAACTTGTTTCTGGTTTGTATCCGGCCACCTTTAGTTGCCAATTTAATTCTTCCAACATGGCATAGATAGCCTTGTATTGTGGGTGCGATTTATCTCCAACTAGGAAACGGTGAACCACTTTATCCAATTCAAGAAAGCTGTAGCCTGGTGGTTTCTTCAATCCTTTTGATCTCATTAAGGCTCTCACTCTTTCCACATTGTCCCATCTTTTCTCTGCTGCATAAATGTTAGAAAGGGAGATGTAGGGGCCAATGCCATTTGGGTTCAAATCAAAAGTGTTTTGTGCAGCAATCTCAGCTAGCTTGACATTACGGTGGATATGACAAGCGGAAAGAAATGAAGCCCAAATATCAACAGTAGGTTTCACTTCCATAGATTTGATGAACTCATAAGCATCATCTAAACGCCCAGCACGGCCAAGAAGGTCCACCATGCAAGAATAATGTTCAACCCCAGGCTTCATCTTGTACTTCTTTATCATTTGGTAAAAAACGTCAAACCCCTCATCAACCAATCCTGCATGACTACATGCTGACAAAACTGAAGTGAAAGTGACCTTATCTGGCATAATTCCATTCACCTTCATTTCATTGAAGGTGGCTATAGCCTCCCTTCCCCTCCCATGAAGCCCAAATCCTGTAATCATAGCACTCCAAGAGATCAAATTCCTTTCAGCCATCCCTTCAAATATCCTATATGAACAATCTAAGCTCCCACATTTTGCATACATGTCTATAAGGGCAGTCCCCACAACTGTGTCCATAGCGTACCCTTTTTGAGCAAGATAAGCATGAACAGACATGCCAAACTGCAAGGCCATGATCTGGTCAGAAGCACCAAGGACACCAATAAAAGTAACTTCATCGAGCATTCTACCTTCTGAAACCATTTGACAGAAAAGTCGTAAACTTTCAAAAGCATCTCCAGCTTGGGCGTAACCCAAAATCATAGAATTCCATGATACGGTATCTCTATCAATCATCTTGTCAAACAACCGCCTTCCACAAACTATAGAATTGCAGTGACTGTACATACTAATGAGAGAGTTTATCACAAAAATATTAGAAAACCCAATATCATTGCGGATAACAAAACCATGTATTTCCTTCCCCTGTTTCAATGCTCCTAAATCTGCACATGCAGAGAGGACACCGAGCAAAGTCGTACAATCTGCTCTTTGCCCAACTCTACTCATTAAGTAAAAAACTGACAAAGCTTCTCCTGATTCATGATTCTTTATGTAACCAGAAATCATGGTGTTCCAAGAAGTTAAATCTCGTAGGGACATTCCATCAAACAGTCTCCGAGCAGTTTCCATGTCACCAAATTTCAAGTACATTGCCAGAAGAGAATTGCCCACATAGACATCTGATTCCAACCCACGAATGACTAGCTCAGAATGAATTTTCCTACCAACTTCCACAAGTAACAGATCACCACAGGCTTTGAGAACAAAAGGGTACGTAAAATTGTCCGCCTTTTGGCCAAAACTCATCATCTCGCGGTACAGAACAATAGAATTCAAAGAGAAACCATTGCATGCATATCCCCGAATCATGCAATTCCATAAGAATGAGTTCTTCAATATGATTCCATCGAAAACAGCACGAGCTTCAGTCATGGAACCACAGATTGCGTAAAAGGCAGAAAGCTTGGTGTTCAGATAGGTGTTATTAAAGAGAATATTAGAAGTGATCATGTAGGCATGGAGTCGCTTGCCTTCTGTATAGGATTTGGTGTTGGTAAATGACTGCAAGAGAGCCCCACATTGTAGAGAACTAAGTGGAGGTCTAAGATCTTTTCCTGCGAGTTGGGTGGTGTAGAAGTCGATTTGAAGGTAACTTGGGAGACTTCTGGGGAGAATCCGCTCGAAGAACTTGATAGTAATGAGAACGCCATTCATGAGGGAGACTCAGGATCCGACTGTAGTGCATATGATCTCCTGAACGAGATCGAAATAGCAAAATGGCCGGTGCTACTCTGGTAGATCTCAAAAAAAATGTGGACTAATACTGATGGTGGCTCAGTTGGTAGGTTCTCTGACTCGTCGGAGTAGAGACCTGCGATCAAATCCCGCTGCCACGAGGGGTTGGGGGATTAAGGGAAAGGGGACCATGAAGTAAAAAAAAAAAATCAGCGAGGGATAGTATCGTACTACTAATCTACTAGTTCTGTTCTGTACAATGCTTTCCGTTCTGCCATGAAATTATAGTTCCGTAGTCCCACATCGGCTGAAAGAGAAAAGAAAGAAAAGATAGTTCTTCTATAAAATGTTACGTCGGCCGTACGACAATACATCTTTGCGCTTGGGGCAATGACTCAGTCAGTGAGGTATTAACCGAGACGCGTCAATTGCTGGTTGAAAACTATTTCCAAACCCCCTCTTGGGCCTGGGCCTGCCCCTGGCCTCTGAGAATTTCTGGAAGGGTCCCCTCAAAAAGGGTAAGACCCTAAAATTCTTCATCCCTTAATAGTTTTGATTCAATAGTCACATCTGGAATTCCATTCCGGATTACATGCCAACAAGATTCGTTCTAACACCCTACTAACATCCAACATCAGACATCTCATACATGGCGGTTGGTCCCCGCAAGTTGGTAGGGTGTTGGAATTTGCCTTATTGACAGGTGATCCAACTCCTGGAAGTGACATTTGAAGCGGAAAAGGTAATCGCATCCACGTGGCTAAAGTTTTCCTTTGGAATGACCGAATTACCCATTTACCTCTTCGGATGTTTTTGTGGTTAAGAGAAGCGAAGCGATCAGCCAATACTCTTTTTCAGTTGTGGATATTGGATAGGAGAAACCCCCATTAGACAACCACCGTTTATCGGTTTGAATTTGCCTGAGAAAGGCATTACACTACTATAGGTGAGGCAAGTGACTACCATCGCTACTCGTACTACTCGGTTTATGCCCAAGACCATGGCTTGTGTGGCAAATTTTAATGGAGCTTGTGAGGTCATACCCACCAGACCCAAGACGTTTGGCGACTTGAGTAGAAGAAGAACAACAGTTGTTGGATTTGCATGCAAGAACACAGAGGAATCTCAAAGACTTCCACTACAGACTACAAGAAGGATTGCTATAGGACTTCCTGCGATTGCTCTTTCTTTTCCATTCAGTTCTGGGGCTTCTCTTGCCGAGGATAATGGATTCTGGCTCACTGGCCCTATCCCTGTCCCTCCTGTCTTCAACAGTAAGTTCTTTGTTCACGCAGTATGTCTACATACAAAATACTTTTTTTTCTTGATTTCCACCAGTTCTCGTTAGTTCAACATTGTTTGTACGTTAGCAAAACCCCAAAAGCTTTAGACTGCAATTTCCAAAACGTAAGTTAAAATCACAAATTCAAAAAAGGAAAGAGATGTTACAATTACAGAGATTGATCATATACACATTTATTTGATCCCACATGAAATCTTGTCAAGGTAACTGCTTTTGTGATCAAGGATAACTATGCTGCTTAAACTTTTGCAGCTTTAATCCCATATTCCCATCTCATGATGGCATCAAACTTGTAATCTCAATTGTATTCATGAAAAGTAGATTACCACTCAACATTGTTGGCTAAGAGTTCTTTGCTAAAGACAGTAAATCCTGATTGACTTTCAAATTCTGAGGAGCCCATTTTCATTGTTGTGAACTTGGAAGCTTTTATCTTTTGAAGCATGTAAAAGAGTAATTGAAACTTTGTAAGATTTGTTCTCTGCTTGCTGAAGAGAAGAACAATGAGCAGTTCTGAAAATGTCTGCCCAAATATTTTTGCTCTTCTTTATTAAACTGTGAATTTTGATGGTGAAGTATCCACTCTCCAAATGTATTTGAGTTCTAGGGACACTTGAAACGGAAAACAGCACAAAATTATTCTTTTAGAGTTCTTATAAAATCTTCAAGACTTGATATTCTCACAAACATTCACCTGGAATTTCCTGTATATACAGAGATAGCAAATGAAGAAACTGGGACTCGCTCATTTCTCAAGAAGGGAATTTATATAGCTAATGTGGGGCCAAAAGGGAGTGCTTACAGGCTAAGGAAATATGCCTTTGATCTGATGGCGTTAGGGGATTTGATAGGAAAAGATGCATGGAGTTATATAAGGAAGTATCTGCGGCTGAAGTCCACTATCATGTACTACGATTTTGACACTGTTATCTCTGCAGCTCCAGCTAACGATAAACAACCTCTAATTGGTTTGGCCAACAAATTGTTCGATAGTGTGGAAAAGGTAATAAATACAATCATCTGTATTTTCTTTCTTGCAGATTTTCATCGCTAAAATATCATATGAAGCCATCTATCTTTACACAATCTGATTATAATCAGGTGGCATTTAGGTTTTCAATAAATGCAGCTCTCTACTGCTAGGCTGAAACTCAGTGAAGACCCACTTAAATTTGTAATACAGTGCATATGAGGATATTGCAAGTCAAATGAACCATTTGTGTACTACCAAAACTTCAAGCATTCAGATAAAGAAAAAGAAAAGCGAATAATGGTTTAAAAATTGAATAATCAGGACGTCTACAATGTGAAGTTTAAAGAATAAGCATTAAAAGTATGAATAATCTTTTCTTTGGTAAACAAATTTTGAATAATTGGTTGGACTCTAGAGAGTCCCTAATACCCACAAACTTAAATTATCCAACTAATAGTCAATCAATTACACAACCTTAACCACAGCTTACGAATATGCAACTGCATAACACTCAGACTTTAATCCTTTATGCATATGTAATTTGCTAATTTCATAAAAGAGTTGGTCTATGAGTTGAAGTTGAACCACTTTCCATGATGTTTTGACAGCTTGAAGATGCAGTGAAGATGCAAAACCTACCTCAAACACAATCATGTTATCAGGATACCACTGCTCTTCTCCAAGAGGTTATGAACCAAATGGCATAATAACTATTTTGATTTCAAGTATTCAGGTCAGTGCAAGGAATTAGGAAGGAAGGACTCCAATACCAAAATCACTGTCATTCATGACAAAATATATCTTGTATTTGCTCTATAAAGCTCAGCAATTAGAAGATCAGAAGATTCATTGCTACATATCAAAATATCAATGCATTTTAGAGCCATGATTGAGAGTGAGTCTAATGGGGGCTATTTTCTATCTAACCCAAGGGCCTGCTACAGATTGCAATTTGATATCCAGCATGAGAAATTGAGAATGCATGTTTGAGCTTTGAGAACAGACACTTCATGCAAAAAAGATTTAAAAAATGCCCTATGATAAGTCCATACCAGAGATAGCTGGGACCAACATTGGACAATGGTCTATATATTAATATAAATGGTAAACTTCCCGAGTTCCAAATTCATTAAGAAGAATCCACCCCAACCTCCTCTCAGTCCTATAATATACACATCACTATACAAATCTGAGGACAAATTTACAGAACATTAAATTCTAAAAGTCACCTAAGAAAAAATTAAAAAATAAAACGAAAAGAACACAAGTATAGTCTCAATCCAATTCTTTGATCCAAAAGTCCCATTTTTCCAAATCCTATCAAAATCATCACAATCAGTTTTCTCATATGATAGACAAAAATATATATATTAAAGGCAGGGATAGGAAACCTTAAACCTGTTTTTGTTGTACAAAGAGGATATTTTAGAAAGAGAAAAACAGAAGAGAAGATCAAAGGGATGAGATTTAGGGGATTCCCCTGTTTTTGTTTTAGTGAAGAAGAAGATCAGTTTTCAACTGTCCAGTACCTCCCTGACTTTTGTTCCACATCTGCTCATATACAATTGAATGACAAGACTTTTGTTCCACATCCGCTCATATACAATTGAAGGACAATTCAAGACTCTTCTTCTTCTTTAGTTGTTTTTTTCTTTTCTCTGCTGTTGCCATCCAAGAACAGTATAGGTTTGATAAGGAAAATAGGAATTTGCCATGTAAGAAAGAACTGGTTAAGAGACATTATCATATTTTTAGTATTGAGGAAAATGACATTTAATGATGAATGTAATCAAAAATTCATCATCAACTGAAAGCCATTTCCACTCGGTGCATGTGGTAGCTTAAGCTGATGTAAAGCCTTGAAACCAAAGCAATTTAGGTAATTCTATAAAGTAAAAAATAAAAAAAAAAATTAAAAAAAAAAAAAGCATACCAAATAAAGTCAAGAATGTATAATAAGTAAAACAAGAGACAAATGGTAAAAGGGCATGGACTAATTAGATCCATGAACTGACCCTATTTAAAGATGTTCAGACTCTACATGCAGATAGTCTTCTTGAATCTTGACAACATACTAAAAAGAATTGACAAAATGGAATCACACATTTGTATCAGCTGGGGTAAATGTAAATAAGCTTCACAATTCATACCTTCTTAGGTATTCTTTGTATCTTAATGAGTTCTCAATTCCATTATGACAAATTTAATTTACAACATTTAGTTTATAATGGGTAATACTGAAAAAAAAAACTATTGTGATGATCATGCACATACTAGATATCAAATTATCAATGCATGTAAGAGTCAGAGTCTAATGGGATATTTTCTATCCAATTAGGATGGGAAAAATGAGAAGCTTGAAAACTGGTTTGTCATAAATAGTTACCTCTCCAAATTGCATAATTTTGCAGGAAAGATTGATAAGAAAAAAATAATATGTTTAAACTGACAGAAGCTTTGGTTCAAGACATTATATTAAATTTAACAATGAAATAAGGCCGAACCCACCATTTAACGATTCCCATTTTGGAGATTGCGTATACAAACAATCGGTATTGAGAACAAGATTTCGGTGCATCTAGTTCCAGCTGTAGTTTTACAATTAGAATGGCTCTCTTTGTACTGTCCAAATTACTTTTTAGGATTGCAGACCTCCATTCAAATAGAATGTTGGCCTGGATAAGATAATCTCTTGGGTAGGACCTTGTCAATTGTGGGTCGCAACGGTTGAAGCACAGCTTCCTTGAAATATCTTCCTAATCCTGTCCAAGATGTATCACCTATTATGACGGTAACAGGACCTGCAGTGCATGGTTTTTAAAACCGAACCGGTCAGGGCACCGTTTTTCGGTTCGGCAGTTCAACCGTCCAGGTTGAGTGGTTCGACCCATGATGTCATAAATAAATAAAAAACAAAAAATACTTATATATAATAAAAATATCATAGAAATTTAAATAAAATACAAAAAATATACAGAAATATAGAAAAAAGAAAAACATATGAAAAAAATAAAAAATATCTAAATATAAAAATAATAAAATAATAAAATACAGAAAATTCCAAAAAATACAGAAAATTTTCCAAAATATATAGAAAATTTTCCAAAAATAAGGATTAATCAAGGCACAGTGAAGGGGCAGCTCTTAATCAGTTAATTGATTGATTCAGTTGAATCAAGAGCTCCCTCATCAATCAGTAAAAATAAGGATTAAGGAATTAAGTGACCTCTTTAGAGTCATTTTCTTTCAATCTCAAGTTGTCTCTAGAAATCTTACCAAAGAAAAAAAATCTCTAGAAAAATTAATTCATGCTTACTAAACAAGCATATATATACAGGCTTAATGACAACAAATTCCTTGATGACAACAAATTATACCATTCTAGCATGTCAAAAGAATTAAAAAAAAAAATCAATTAAACCAAAAAAAATCAGCAAAAAAAAATAATACCTTCAGGCATTCGCCGCTGGTGGGCTCAGGCAGTCCACAGCTGCAAGTCGTTGTTGCTGCAAGTTGCTCACCGTCCACCGCTGCAAGTTCGTCGGTCGTCATCGGTGTATGTTGCTGTCGGATGCCAGAGTTGATGGCTGCCGCAGGTGGTAGGGTGTAAGGGTTGAGACTTAAGAGTTGAGAGGACTAAGAAGTGACCGAGTGAGGAGGGAACTCGGGAACCCTAAAGGCTAAATCGAATAAAGGACTGGGATTGGGATTCGAAAATCATGGGATATAATTGGCTTTTTATTTTTCATTTTTTTTATTTAAAACATTAAAAATGAAAATATTAACCCGCAAACCGCTGCCCAGGTCAAACGGTTTAGTGGTCCGACCACCCTAGTCAGCAGTTTTTTTGACTTTTCAACATTTTTTCAATTTTCCGGTTTCTAATAAAACCGGATCCGGATGGCTGACCAGTTACTGGTTTTTCCAGTCCGGTCCAGTTTTGAAAATCATGCTGTCTACATCTACACCTCAAGCATGCTTGTGTAAGCAGCAAGTGCAGGGAACCAAGTGTTTGACGTTTGTCCCACATTTATTGCCAAGACCCATGTCGCAAAAGAACTGTCACCCCTTCGTTATCTATTTGGGATGACCCTCCTCACCCTCTTTGTCCACATAAAGTTCAACTGCTTGGGTCAGATGGTTTTTGATCAAATGGTGGATTTCATATAAATCGGACCTAAAACCTTGACTGAGTGACAATTTAACCGTTTCAGTCAACGGTAGATTAAAAAACACTGACGCATTAGAGAACCCAACCGCAACTCTCCAGATCTATCAATCCACTGATATCAGTGGATCCATTAGTGACGTGTTAGAGGTTGAGCAGACTGCAGTGCACTGCGAAGATAAAGAAACTGATGGTAAACATTGAAATTAGGGCTGTAATCGGATCACACTCAGATCAGATACAGCAAAATCCGCATCCAATCCAATTACTAACAATCTACATTAGAATTTGGTCAGATTTAAAGACTTGAATTCAAATCTTAACAACCAGATCGGATTCGAAATTAATCCAGCACCACTATGCATTTTCTAACACGTCAATAGATACAAGGTTCACACCTATAAAGTAGTAAAAGACTAAAATATCAATTAGCACTTTATAGTAAGAGAAAGACCGCTAATCATAAATCACACACCATAAAGCATCTCATTGAAGAGGAAAATGGTAAAACTACATGCTACCAGCCTACCACAGCCACAGCCCAAAGATGCAGCTTTAATATCGTATTAAGTTCTTAATGCAAACTATTTTTTACCCTTCTTAGATCCTCCAGAATGAACTAGAAATTCTGATCCACTAAAATCAAAATGTAAGGTTTACATAGGATAGAACACGAACATCAAGAAGGGACAACGGCAAATGCAAATACTCCTGCTCAACAAATTTGCGGCATTTGATCAAAAGATCAAGATATACGAGTAGAAAAACATTCTCAGCTTGAATAACACATCCTTAGAAATACAATGTATCACTGCACTCGAGGAGAACGCACTACATTCGGTTGATACAAACACAACCATTTCCTTCACTAATCACTATACAAATTACACGCAGCACTGGAAAACCCTTTCGGTTTTCTTTTCACAATTAAAGTCAGATTATAAGAATCACACTGGTAGAACACAAGGCAAGTTCTATCCATAACTCAACCGAGAATCCGGAGCTCTCAAGTTGGCCTGTCGCCGAGGGATCCCAATCTCACATGCATTCACTCTTGCAGCAAAACGAAGTGAGCACAGAGACTCACCAACAGAGGTTGGGTCAGGCGAGATGTTGACAAACATCAATGTCTTTGAGTCTCCCCCTAAGCATGGCTGATAAACATAGAAATCAAGAAAGGCCAATAAATGCTCAATAATCCAAAAGGAATAGTAGGATGAATATTTTAATAAAGAACATTGTTTTAAAAGGCTGTTGAGGCAAGGCCAAGGGTCTAAGCCTTGAGGTGAGGCTAAGAAAAAAAATGGCCTGGCCTCGATAGCCCCAGAAGCCACCAGCAAGGGTTAGGGAATTGTTTGAGGCTTACATCTTTGGGTCTTTGGCCTCATAATGTCCAAGGCATGATGGCAAAACAGAAATTTAAGGCCCAAAAACAAAGAATGCCTTGCTTTGTATTCTCATATTGCACAAGTAAATAAATATAAAAATAACAAGTAAATGCATACAAATGTGCATGAAAATAGCTTGTTTTGTTGTTCATATTCTTTATAGTTCATGCTTTGTTCTTACATGCTTGCCCATCTACCCCATAGTTGATAATCTATTTTTTCTAAAGCACATGCATCACAGTGGTCACTCTTCACTGAGGCAAAATAGGTGGAAGAAATGAAACAAGAATGCCTTACTCTTAAAACACTGTTGGTTCGTATCCTTGAGCTGAACCGTTAGATTTATATGGTAGTTAGATTTTAGGGGAAAAACCCTATACTGATAACATTAGTACCCATGTCTAATATATTAAACAAGCCATATAAAATCGTAATTTTATATTTTCTTGTCTTTATTGCTTATGAATTATATCCTTTTTTTGGCTCAAGGCTTAAGCCTTAAAACCTTTAGCCTTTTAAAACCTTGACAAACAGGCCTGCTATAATGAGGATGGTTCCAGTCAAAGAATTTAACATGTTCATAAGCAATGGTTCCTAAATAGTAAATGCATGTTGTCAGGAGCATAAAAAAATTTCATCTCCATTTTGGCCAACACACTCAACAATTATTCCACATCACACATAAAAGATGGAACTAATCATACAATGAATGCTCCAATGCCAGAGAAATTAAGCAAACCATTTTACAAAATTATCACAACCTGAAGGGGTTTCACCTAACAATAATGAACTATCACGAATGATCAAGATAATCAAACAAGGACCATCAGGCTCAATGCATTCTAATATGCCAGTCAAAGAATTTAACATGTTCATAAGCAATGATTCCTAAATAGTAAATGCATGTTGTCAGGAGCATAAAAAAATTTCATCTCCATTTTGGCCAACACACTCAACAGTTATTCCACGTCACACATAAAAGATGGAACTAATCATACAAGGAATGCTCCAATGCCAGAGAAATTAAGCAAACCATTTTACAAAATTATCACAACCTGAAGGGGTTTCACCTAACAATAATGAACTATCACGAATGATCAAGATAATCAAACAAGGACCATCAGGGGCTGGAAGAGCTGTTATATCAGAACCTTGGAAGTAGTTAATGTCATATATGCAATGCTCAAGTAAGGCTTCTCTAGTAATCCTGATTCAAGTGATCCTGCCCAGTCTTATGAAAATAATGGCCAGTCACCAGCCAACAAACTAGAGGTCCAGACCATCACTAACTAGTCAATTGCTTCTCATGTTGCAGTCACAGTTGGGTCAACCAGTTTGATAACAAAGCAACTTCAAGCTTTTTCTTATTCATTCATGCCTCTAATTACCCAAACTATAACAATATATGATTTTTAACTTTTACATACATGCTGTCATTCAAGCATCTGTTATAAACATCCTTGGCTGATAGATTATAAAATAAAAATAAGCATAAAGACAAAAGTGGAGGTTCATGGTACAGAATTGTCACAAACAAGGGGTACAGAAAATGGTCAAAGGTTCATGGTACAGAATGATTGTTAGCATTCTTTTGTTTCTTACAAATTATATTGACTTATTTTGAGATATCATCCATATCTTAAATTTTGAGTATATCTTTTTTTATTGACTAGTCAGCACCCAAGCACCAAATAGCCATTACATCAAGTAGAGAGGACAAAATAACTACTTCTCACCACATTAATAACATTGGCTCCACCAATATGATCCTTGACTCATCACCATTTTCAACCTTTAAAGATCAAACAAGTTATTGTGATCAAGGTTCAAAATATCGATACGCCCGATACGCTGGTATGGGCGTATCAAGCAAATCGATACAGCTTTTCATGGTTTTTTTTTATTTTTTTTTCAACCGGTTCCGGGGGGGCGGTTTAGGGCTCCTCCGCCCCCTGAACCGATCAGACCCCCGATACACCCACTGTAGGGGCGTAACAGAGGGGTCCCAGAACGATATGTATAGGCTGATACGGGCCGATACGTGTCAATACTTTGAACCTTGATTGTGATAAAGGTGGAAGTTTCTGTTATGGACATTCCAAGAAAAAAACAGGAACAGTACACGGGCCTCAACAGAAAGTGAAATAAATTTGTAAAAAAGAGTAATAATATAATATTCACTTTTATCTAATTGAATGGACAAACTATGAGAAATGTAACTAAGGAAAGAAATTGTTCAAGTTTTACCTGTAAAAGATATGTAAGCTTTGAATTCCTGAATGGCACATGGTCCTCTTTCTTGGCAAGGGCAAATATAACATCACTCAAGCATGATAAACTTTTATTAATAGCCTGGTTGTTCATAAACCATTGTTTTTATTTTAGGAAAATTCACATTTAAAACAAGGAACAATGGCAAAAAACTGATGCTAGAATACCTGTGTTTCCTTAAGCCGATCACCAGTTGCCCCACTCTTAGAAAGTCTCTCACTGCCTGCTAGATCAATGAGATTTAGCACACCCTGCACTTGTTGTTCAGTACTCTAGCAAATCAAAGGTGTATTACTCATTAGTATACAAACAAAGCAACATTACGGTATTATTTAGTAAAGCACACAAGGACAACATTTCACCTCATTAGTTCCAGATATGCGTAATGTGAAGACAAAGTGACTTCTTGATGATTGTTCATTCATCTGGGTCCTCCCTACTGACCTGAAAGTAATAGTGATAGCCTCATATAAGATCCTAACCAAAACTCAGAGGGAAAAGGATGGCCAAGGGAAATTATATAAAAATATAAATATGGAGCTTGGCTTCAAATGACATTTGCTTCATACTATGCATGAAATAAATCAGGCACAAAACAACCCAGTATTTAACTAACCTGCTTTGTGCTGCCTGCTGTAAAAGGGAGGAAACCTCTTTGATGGTGCAAACATCTACAATGGTGAGATCTGAAACATGTGTGTTGCCATTTGCATCATGTTTAATTGCATATTGCTTTCCAGCTACACCATTTTCTGTACGTAATGTATCGGGACCTGAACGATTTGGTGATAACAAATCACGAATTGTTTCATTGTATATCTCCAACATTGAAGCCTAATAACAACAGGTAAACAATTGATAGTTAAGAACCCAAACAAACAATCAAAATCCTAATTCTACTTTTAAATTAAGAAGTACAGGTAATAGATGAGAAGGAAAGATTTAATGGAAAACCTGCATTTTGTACTTCCAACCCTGAGCAGTAAGAGATTGGCTTGCTTGGAATATTTGTTCTAAGGAACGAGGAATCAAACCCTTCTGCTCTGCATTTTCAGGCCTACCCATCATGGTATATGTCTTACCAGAACCTGTCTGCCCATAGGCAAAAATGCAGACCTGCCAAAATCGAAGGAACATCATTTCTTTGAATTGGATAGAACTTGCACCCTATGGAGAGGTACAGGAAGCAAGCATCTATTAAAGAAAAGAACAAAAACAGCAAAATCCTCTTTAAACTGCAAAACATAGATAGAATTGATGCTTAACCAGAGAAAGGATAGCATAAGTATATTTTCTACAAGAAGACTGAAAAATATAGATACAATTGAGGCTTAACTGGAGAAGGGAAATCATAAATATATTTTCTGCTTCTTATCAACACTTACGCCTAATTTGGGGTAGCTTCATTGAAATGTTGAGAAAGCAATAAATTGGCACAAACTTTTAATGAAAAAGCTTCACAAGGCATAACCTAATTTTTTTTGAAACTCAAACCTTTTCTTGAAACCTATCTCCATAATATCTGACAAATTTTAACCTACACAAACTATGGTATTATTGTTCAACAATTTACTTGGGAAACGCATTACATGCTTCTTGGAAATTCAAACCCATTTTGGACCCTGTCTCCAATAGGCATCACACACTTTAACCTAGACAAATTATGGCTTTATTGTACAAGAATTTTCCCACAACCTAAAAACTCAGAAGCCATGCAAAACAATGCCAAAAAAACAAAAATAACATAGACTAGCACCTAACTAGCTAAATGAGTAGATTAAAAACCCAAGTGTCACCAATACACAATGATCACCAAAATAAATCATGAAGATACATGACCAAATAATGGCACAAAAACATTTGGGAAAATACCAGAATATGCGAATACAATGCCCATGGATGGGTCTGGACCTCAAAATTGTCCAGATCCCATTTTCAAAGAATAGGAAGTTGGAAAAGTACCATCCAAGGAATCGCATCTAAGAGCTTAACTGGCTCAACAATGATCTTAAAAAGAAAATTACAGCCCAAGTATCCAGAAGATCCAGAATATGGCATTGGAGCCAGAACTGAAAATGAAAGTAATGATGATCTGGCAATCTGGGGCCTTCGAAGGGCCAAAGGGGTCAACCAGATGCAGACCTCACCTTTGGCATGTCACATAGACTGTTGTATTTATGTGTGACAGGTATTTTGCTACACAATTTTTAATTATCTTTGAAGTATAACTGTGTGCATGCAAGTGCTGTATGTGCACAGGAGAGAGAAAGAGAGAGAAGATTGTTCACTGGTTGAACTTTGAGACATATAGATGACAAATTGGAAGACAATACATGTATATCTGTGCATCTGTGTGAGAAAAGGGGGAAGATGAACCATATTTCCCCCAGAAGGCAGGTTGCATTAATAACAAAAAGACAAAATAAAACATCCGCCTGTACTAAGTATGTGGAAACATGTGGAAAAGTTGACGCAGGAGCAATCCCATGCAGATAGGTTAAATGAAACTCAAACAGTATTTAGGTTGTAGAACCAAATTGACATGTTGCAATATTCTTAGAGGAGTTCGGGCCAGGAGGATAGAATTGTGATCCTACTTCCCAGATTTTCAGGATCATGGTTCTAGGGTGTCCCTGCTCCAAAAAAATCAAGAATTATGGTTTAAAACTAGAACATCCCCCAAGTACACAGTTCTGGATACTAACATTAATGCCATGCCTTAAATGTTTACAATATTCTTGTGGACAGAAGGAGAAAATGAAAAAGAAAATATAGAACTACTAAAGATCAAACTCCAAAAGAAATGCATGAATCATATAACTAAAGTCAATTTATCAAGCTAACTACTAGTATAGGCAATCTTTTAGATGGTCCACTGAAGTTGAAGGCCCAAATCCTCCAAACAAACATCATATGGCAAATTATGCGAGCCTCAGAGTCATCTACTGATCCTGTGGCCGTTAAACCAACACTCTAATAGCCTAAAAACTATACTAGAGTCCTAGACAAGTTTAAGAGAGGAAAAGAACTTAAATCAGACAATAAACAAATGAACATCCTTGATGCCACAGTTTTTTATTTGATCCAAGGATTATGATTCATAAAAAATAGAAAAACTAAATAGATATGAGCCCCAATTAGCATCCAGAGTTCCTACCAAGGCATGAATACTGCTCAATTAAAACGAGTTTCTATTTCTGATTTCAAATGTATAACACAAGGCCAACTAAGGGCAACCTTATAGCCATCAAGCGCACTCTGAACCAGCTGTGAGATTTCTACAAACACATCTTCTTGAGAGGCATCATGAGAGAATACTTTATCAAAGGTGAAAGCATGTTTTGATCCTGCTACAAATGAAATGTAATATAAGTAGCTATACCCAATCATTCAGTAAAATCAACAAGGCAACCACTATACATATATGGACAGGGATTTACCACTTTGTAGCAAGTCTATGCCCCGTCCAAGGGCTTCAAGTGATGTAGGATATGAAATAACTTCCACCCCAACACCATCATCTGGCAATAAAGGCCGTACTCTGCAGAACACTCGAATATTGCCTTTCAACTCCTGTGGTTTAGAGATCTCAGAGGACATTGAGCAAAAATTAAAAAGAAACAATATGAAATATCATACACAAAGATGTGATGATTGTAAAAAGTACCAGTATGGTATTATGCAACTTCTTTCTAAGCTTTTCTGCTTCAATAATTTTAAAATCTGCCTCTGCCAGGTGACTTTGCAAATCATGAATGACTCTCTTCTGCTCCTCAAATTCAGTCTTTGTCTCCAAAGCTGACAAATCAGCTCTCTAAAATACGAAATGACAGTAGTTTATGAGCATTTCTATGTAGCACACAATTATACAACAATGGAAGTTAATAGGGAGGAAAACTGGATACACATACCTGCAACTTCTCATTTGCAGCTGCTAGCTGGCGGCGCAATATTTGTATCTGCTCTCGCTGAGAGGAGCATGTATCCTGCCAATGGTGGAAAAAAGAACCAGATTTATATATACAAAAATCAATGAATTTTTGGGAACGAAACAAATTGTACTAACAAACCTCTAGAGCATTTGATTTTACTATCAGCTTATCTAACTCAGCAGAAGATTTCCCAGTGCTTTCTTCATACTTCACAATTTCTGCTGTTAAAGCCTGCACCTGTGCTAGTTGCCGATCACGATCTTCCCTTACTTGTTGTAACTCTCCCCTAAGACATCCCACTTCAGCTGTCAAAGCTTCCTTTTGTTTGATAGCCTCATCCCGAGAAGCCTATAAAAACAACCCATGCATCTTTTTTTCAAATATAAAACATATTTGAAGATCTTATCTATGTATAAATGCATGGATATACACACATGTGAACATCTAAAGGTATAAATGTATGTAGATCTACTGTTTGAATGCATGAGTGGTGCTTCTACAAGTAGAATATACATTACATTCACAACAACACAACACAAGTTGAATGTGTAAAGTGTAAATGAATACATCATTACATCATAAAAATGCAAAAAAATGCAATAATACTGAACAAGAAAAATCATAAATTGTTAGTGCATTTAAATAGATTATTATTCACATACACAGACAGAGGGCAGATGCCAGATTATTCAGATGCCAAAAGGTGGCAGAGACAAAGGAACAAACTCAGTATCCTAAGCCAACATTTATCACCTACTGTCTTTTTAATGTTAAATTTCACAAGTTAACAGAGAATGAAACTACAGCTATATTGATAAGCCAAACCTGATGAGTGCCACATTTTCTACCTCACACAATCATCATTTCCTTCATATCTTTAACTGACTCCCAAAAATAATTCAATGAATGCTGACTTTTTTGTTTATTTACATTTACTAGTTCTTTTTTGAGCTTCACATTGCCAGAGGAGATATATAGTTGAAGGCACAATTAGTCAGAATGCTACTAAATGCTGAACAGGTCAGATACTGAAAAAAGCTAGGAACTTTTTTTCTTATGGTCCATTTGGTTGCCTACAATATATAACAAGCTAAATAACACATATGTTGAAAAGAAAATATGGCTCTTGATGGAGCATAATGGGAGGAAAGGATCTATGTAGAAAACGCCAGACATTTGGGATTAAGGCTGAGATGAGTTGAGTATATCTAGTTGTGAAGAAAATGTAAAGGTATTTAACAAAACAAAACTTCTGTTGGGCCCTCTAACTCATTTTGCCACCCACGGCACTCAATTTTCTTGCATTTTCAGATGGTTTGTAAGGAAAAGAAAGCATCACTTAAGAGGAATGCTGTGGATCAAAAAAATCACATATTGGCCCCATCCATTTTCCTTGAACCAATCAAAATACATGTTCCAAGACTTTCTGTGCACTAATATATTGTGCACAAAACAATGGCCAAGCTAATGGTCTAAATAGAAGTCTAAGCATGGATCATCTCATCAAAATATGGGACAAAGCAGGGCTATAATGAATAACTAAAATAAGGAATGCATGTTCTAGAAGGTGCACTATTTCCTTAAATAAAGGCTATAACCTAGGATGACCCACTGGATGCAATACAGTTCATCCTAGAAATCTAGAATAGACGATAGAGGTTAAAAAGAAGACAATTTTTAGTGCTCTACTCTACCCATGAAAATATCATTATCTTCTCCCCACACCAACAATCCAGGCCTGCAATTTGCATAGATAATCCATATTCCAGCATTCAACTCCACACAAGGAACTATCTTTATTTCAGAGCCCCTTATCAAACAACATCATGCGAACTGCTTCACATTATAGATGCACCAGTAGGAAATTCCACAAATATGAAGAGAAGAAATTTTTTATATGTGTGCAGTCACATGGGATGGTCAGACGCCTTCACTCATTTGGCAAAGAAAATAGTTATCTATACAAGAAGCCTTAGTAAAAGAAACCAGAAGCCAACAAATGACTTACTCGAGATGAAATTAATTGATCCTGTAACGAATTATAATGACCTCTTAATGTGCTGAGGTTCTCCACTATTGCAGCCTTCTCCTTTTCTACACGTTTCAGGGTCTCATTGGCAGTTGCAAGCTCTGTCTGAAGTTTGCTGTTATATTGTTGTAAGCTTGTGTTATACTCCTGCAACCGCTTATACATATCATTAAGTGATGCTATCTGCATAATTTAACGTCATCAAAATGGATTTAGTTACAGAGTGTTATCAGGTAAACAAATAAACAAAAGTAAATATCAGAAATTAAAGATAAGGTTATAATATTACCTTCTGATTTGCAGTTAACTGCTCGTGCTGAGCCTTTTCAAGCTCTTCAGCTAAAGAAGCACGCACCTTCTCGACAGCAACTCTGGCCTCTTCTTCTCTTTTAAGAGAATCAATTGCAGCCTGGAGTTTATATTGTAAAAGTAGTCATTTAGCAAAGAAGATAATAATAAGAAAAATGAAAAAGAAAAAAAAAAAAAAAAAAACGTAAATGGGTCAAGCATTTCAATGAAGGAAGAAATGGCAACCTACCAACTTGTCCAATTCTTCCTTTGTAAATCTCTCCTGTAAAAGAGCAAAATCTTTCTTCAACTCCACTATGATAGAGTTCAGTTCCCCCTCCCTGTTTTTCATTTGCTCCTCTAAGAAAGATTAAATTCACAAGTCAGTCTAAGCACATCGATTTCCCTTTTTCTGTTAGAATTAGAGAGAAAGGAGGGAGGGGAGATGAAGTGAAAAAGTTTACCGGTTTCAGCGCATTTTATGTTAACAGATTCCAACATATTCCTTAGCTTCTCCTGCTCAAGGAGATAGTTTTCTTCTAGCTCTTGCAACCATTTTATGCAAAGCCTAAGTTTCTTTACATACTCAGTCAACTGCTCGCATTTCCCCTGTAAAACCAAAAAAAAATGCAAATAATCAAAAAAAAAAAAAGATCCAACCACACGGAAACAATTTATAACTTAGAAGATAAGAAATAACTTCCATACGAACCTTGTAATCAAATTTGTTCTTCCCTTTCATCTTCTCATTCAAGAGGGCTTCAACAACTTCTTTTGTAAATTCAATTCCGCCACAATCGGAGCTCGCATTGCTAATATAATCGCTAGTGACCGCAGGATCTTGACCGGCATTCACCACTGAGAATGCCTGACGTGTTCGACCTGTGGTCGCTGGTCCAACCATCTTTCCTGATCCAATCTTCCTGCGCTTGTCTATTGGAACCTCATCAATGCTATCTTTCTTCTGCAAAATCAGAGCGGAAGAAGGAAAGAACACACGTTAGCCTAGAAACCACTGAAGCAGGATAACAGAAAAAACCCTAACCTAGAAGCGAGGAAACAAAAAATAATAATAAATAAAAATTCATGAGGGAAAAAACTTCACATTTGAAGGACTTCGAGGAGGAGCGTTGGGTAGAGGAGGTTTGTTCTGGTTCCTCGAAGCCATTGGAAGCTAAGAGAGAATGTATGAGCTTTCAGTTGGTCAGTTGAAGTTGGGTTATTGTGGGGTTGTGGGTTGCATTTGAAGTTAGCGGGACTTCAGGAAATCCCGGCCGCTGCTTTAACGAACAGGAAGGAATGGCGGAGAGGACGATAGACAGTAATGATCCAGAACTAGAAGACGAGCTCAAACAGAGAAAATAAAAAAAAATAAAAAATTAATTAACGGGAAAATTTTGAATGCACATATGCATCTCCGTCTCCGCCTCGATCTCGGTCACTCTTGGTCTCGGTGGTTTGGTTAGGTTCTTTTCTTTCTCCGAATAGTTTAATTCCCGTTAGGGTTTGCTGGGAACCGGGTGGAGATTGGAGTGGTCCGTGGTCACCTGGTCGGGACTCTCAGTGATTTTGAATTTTTTTGAAATAGGATCTGGCGGCATCAAGGAATTCGTGGAAATAACTTTAGATGCCAATTATGCCCTTGAAATGTGATTTCATTTCCTAATTTGTCCCTTTCTGATTTTTAGATTTTATCGATAAAAAAGAAAGGGTAAAATTCCAAGAAAAAAAACTGAGGCATTTTGGGGCTCTGTCACTTACTGCATTAATATGATGAACATAAAATATCTCATGTGTGCATTATGTCATGTATTATAAATTTTTGAATATCAAAATCGCACTATCTACCAAAAATTTGTTATTAATATTTTCTTCATTTTGTCCATCAATATTATCATAAATAATATATTAATATTAATATAATGTTCTAAATAAAAGATAAAGAAAAGATTTTAGGTTAATTAGCCCCGTTTGGTGCATCTTTCTATACGGTCTTTCAGTTGTTTATAAGTTGGCAGACCGTGTTACGGTCTTTTTTTGTTTGGTTCATAATAGATCTAGCTGTCAAAGGTTGGTGCACCGAAAAGAAGCTCATTTTGGGCTGATTTCAGGAAGCTCCAAATGGAGTTTTTCATGTCTTTCTCGCTTTATTTTCGTGCAAAAAGACACGAAAATATACACGGTAGTCAAACTAGCTTCAGGCTACTCTGATCTTCATGCAAAAGTTCAATGCGTCTTTTGACTATTAGAACTACCAAAAGATCTTCCCAAAAAGATTTGTCAAACGGCCTGTAAAGAAATTTAAAAAAAAAAAAGCTCTATATGTTTTTGTTGATCGACAAAAATATGTAATTATTTTTTTGCTAACATGGCAGTTGTTATCTTATTTTAGAAAACAATGGGGGTGCAAGTTGATTTTAAGAATTTATATTGCATCCAACTAGATGCAAATGGATCATATCACGATTCGATTTGATCTGAAATCCGATCCTATTTTATTGGATTCTAATATGCCCCTTTGGATTATCGGATCAGATCATCCCCCATATATTACATTTTTGTAAATTTTTATATTGTTTAATTTTTTATGAAAATACATATATATATGATGAAAATAGTTGAAAAAATACTTGTACTTTTTGTTTTTGTTATATTTTCTTTTCCTTTCAATAATTTATTATTTTAAAAATTAAATTGGATCAAATCATATTCAGGATATCCAACATCTTTAGTAGATTTGGATTTGAATCAATGTTTGTGAGATCCAATCGGATCAGAACTATAGTTTATATTATGGAATTAGATTCATATCTACTCTAATTCAAATATGGTCTGATCTATTTGCATCCCTACATCTAACATAGGTCCATTCAAATTTTAACAAAATGCCAACCTGAGCCCGTTTAAATTGCACACCTATAAAACAAAACCATTCACATTTGCAAGAAAACTCCAAATATGCAATTCTTGTGTGAAGGTGTAAATCATGTCATGTTGCCAGCGCATGGCATGGACCGACACAATGAACTACGGTCATGTCGGGCATGGCACAATCGTATGGGCCATGTCAGGCCTAGGGTTTCAGGTCCATGGGTTGGCACAACATGACACAACCAAACAGGCCATGCCTCCCGTGGCCTGTGTGCCGACACGGCCCATATACATATATGCATATATATAATATAATATAACATATATACATATGTTATATTATATTTATATATAATTGTATTTTCTATTTTATTATATTGTTTCATTTTAACAATTGTATACATCAAAATGCATATAAAATAAAATTTTAAGATATTTTTTAACTTTTGATCTATTTTTAAATTTATGTTAAATTTTTTATTTTTTTCAAAATTTTTAAAAAACATGGCTTGGCTTGGTCTATGGCCTGTTCTGGCCCACATGGGCTCAAGCCGTGGGCCATGCTAGGCTGACTCTAAAGCATCCCAAGAGAGGGAAGCATGGCCCACACTTTGCACGGGTCACATGTAGATCATGCCATGCCGGTCCAACACGGCCCAATTTACACGTGTATCAAAAGTATGGATACCTTGAACCTTAATTGAAGTTGATGTAGATGATTCAAGCCTTTTGTATGACAAATAAACCTACTAGGGGAAAAACTAGGGGGACCTAGGGAAATTCATGTATGCTCCCCATACCAACCCATACTTGTATGTTGTCATTGAGAACATATCCTATTGTCATTCATGGAGGGATGCTCTCAACGCATGGCTACAGTGTGGTGTGGGGTTAGTGTGAAGAGTGTTCACGGGGAACAAATCTAGATTCCCATGAAAGGTCTATTTGTCGTATGAAAGGTTTGAATCTTCTACATCAACTTCAACCAAGGTTCAAAGTATGCATACTCTATACACAAGAATTGCATATCGAGAATTTTCGTCCATCTATACTCTTTGGAGGTGTTTGTCAATGTGAACGGTTTTGTTTTATAGAGGTGCAATTTGGACAGCTCAAGTCGACAAAATTTTGAATGTGCACCAGTCATGAAGCATAGGGCTGGATACATTGTAAATTCTTCAAATTAGATACCCGATTTGCAGCACCTCTATTGTTTTTTTTTAAAAAAAAAACAAACAAAAAAGAAAACTGTCATGTTAACGAAAACAACACGTTTTTGTCAATTAGTTGTTTTTGTTTTAGAAAACAAAACCATTCATATTAACAAATACCTCGTACTTTTGGGAAAAATCCCGTTTAGTATCTTGTACTTTAGGTTTAGTACCATTTTAGTCCTTGAACTTTAACACGTGAAAATTAAATACCCAAACGTTCAAAATGTGCCAATCTAGTACCTTTCATTAACAAGCCGTTAAATGGCATTTGAAAATACACAAATGTCCTTCGAGTGTCATCTAGTTCTCTTTATTAATCATCCAATTGTTGACAAAAAATGAATAGTGTCAAACCCTTACCTCTTCTAATCAATAAAGGTGGGGTCATGTCTCATTGGGCATTCTAGTGACCCCAACATTCCTAAATAGAGAGGCAAGGATTTGGGACTGTCCATTTTTTATCAATGTTTAAATGGTTGATAAAGAAAATTAGATTACACTCGAAGGGCATTTGTGTCTTTTCAAATGTCATTAAACGACTGGTTAACGAATTGGTTAACGATAGGTATTGGATGACACATTTTGAAGGTATAGGTACTGAATTGTCACATTTTAAAGTTTGGGGACCAAGGCGTGGAAATTTGACATATTTTAAATTCTTCACCTTAATAGTTTAAATGTAGATGTATTAAAATAAATAGGATAAATTACAAAGACCCACTTGATCTTTCACTACATGACAAACACCCCCTCCCTTAGAGTTGAAAAAGATTCTCATTCAGCTGTTTAAAATTTTTTAAGTCCATAAACTTCCAGTTTTCTTATTTATATAAACAAATTATCATTCAATTAGTTTTTTAAATATAACATTGAAGTTTTCTTGATTGTTCCAATGGAATCATTGAAAATTTCTGGCTGGATTAAATATTCAATTGAAATGGTAGAGCTTTATTTCTAATAGATATAAATTTATGGAAAAGTATATTGCACCCCACTGCAGAATTCTAAATTCTACTACAAACCTATAATAATTTAAAATGTCAAACACCCCCACCCTAAACACCAATACTCCCCTTTGTATTGGCATCAATTTCGAGCTAGCACCTACCCCAACTATATGATGGGGCTAAGAATTCTGATGGATTGACCAGTCATTCTCCCTTAAATGGTTTTGTTTTGGCTTTTCTTGATTTATTGGAGAGACATTCATGTCATTAAAATAAATCTATAATTAAAATAAAAACCTTTTCTATACAAATGAAATGTTCTTGTTATTTTAGCGAGTTTAGAGGCATTTTTGGTTAATTAGGGATGAAGAGAAAAGTGCAAAGAAAAAATAAAGAAAGTTTAGGTGGACATTTTGGTGATTTAATGCATTTTGTCATTTGACTTAATGGTCATGGGTATTTATTGCAAAGTAAAAGTTTAAAGGGTCTTTATTGCAAATAAAAACTCAGGGGTATTTATCATTGGTCCCATAGTATTTATAATTTACCTAAATAAACACTACTCTTTAACATCAAATCATGATTATTTTTCTTATGAAATTAATAGTTAAACGATTCTATGATTAGGTGAGTAAGGGGAGAAGGAAAGGATAAAAGAGTCATTCAAACCTTCAAAACAAAAAAGAAAAAAAAAACCCTTCATCACGCTCCACGAACATGCGCTCAACAATAGTCAATAAACAATTCAGGCTCTTTCTCAACACTCCCCTTCAGATAGGCATCAAATGAACGCTCAAAAGTTTTGGAGCGTAAAAAAGTGAACACTTGAAACCTGAAAGTTGATACTCTCTTCTCATCATCTAGGGTAAGCGTCTTTCCACGCACCTATTGATGCAAGAATTAAAAATTGTCCTTTCAGTTTGTAAACGTCTTTCTTCTCAAATTGCAATATGCCAAAAAGACGATTTGCAACTAGAAGTGTATAGATACACAAAATATACAATTCTAATTCATTATTTGCATCGACATAAATTTGCTTTTGGCTGGGTTTCAAAATAAACGTTACTTTTAGAACCATAGATTGGGTTTGTGAAATTGAATTTGATCTTCACAAAATTTTGCACACCGTTCTCACATCCTTTTTCAGCCATGTATTGGGAATTCATATAAGAATGGTTTTTAAAACCGGACCAGATCGGACGGTCGGACCAGAAAATTTGGGAACCGGTCACCTGATTGTTCTGTTTTTCCCCAAAACTATTGATTTTGGTCAGCAAATCGCTGAACCGGCTGGTTAACCGTTTGAACGGTTTTAACCATTTTTCAAACTTTTTAATTTTTTGTCAGAATGGGCCGACCGTTCAACCCGATAACCGAACCCCTAACCGGTTCGGTTTTAAAAACCATGCATATAAGGGTGGAGTCAAGAATTTTTTATAAGCCAACAATTGTGCTCACACCATTCTCACATCCCAATACAGAGCTGAAAAAAGCCTTGAGAACAATTTTGAAGACTGAACCCGCTCTGGTGT